AGGGAAAGGACTCGGGCCTCCAGGGCACTCGCAGCACAGCCAAGGAGCTCGCTCACCTTTGCAGGTGTTGTAGTCAGCGTAGGGTTGTACTCCTCCCGTGCAGAGGAACCGGGGGGTGACCACCTCAGAGATGTCCTTGACCTTGTCATAGCCTGCGGCGTAGCGAGCATCTCTCTCACAGCTGGCTTTCTGTAGGGAGGGCGAGAAGGACGGAGGACAGAGGGTTGGCCAGCAGCTGGCTGGGGACAGGTCAGGGCCCAGAGGGCTCCGCCACTCCTCACCTTATCGCCGTTCTTGATGTAGACCTCCTTTCGGGTCAGCTTCTTCTGCTCCTCAGACACAAACAGAGCTTTGACGTCCTTTGCAGGGAGCAGTTCTTCCTCTGGACAGGTGGACAGATGTCACCTCAGCCGCGCTGTCCCACCACCCGCACCATCTCCCCACTGCCTGCCTCCCTCAGGTCCTGCAAGCCCTAACGGGGCTAGGCCTGGGTGGGCAGTCAGCTCTTCCTGCAGCTCCCCCGCCCTCTCCCTGAACACGTCTTACTCTGTTGCTGGCAAGTGGTCGTCGGAGGGAGCCTCAGAGCTCGAGTTGTCCCCTCCGTACAGGGGAGACAGATGGGCCTGTTCAGGAGAGAGGAGGGTCAGAAACAGCCTCTGCCCATGACCCCAGGCCCCTCACCCTCACCAGCCTATTCTCCTCGGACCCAGCCGCTCTCACCTCAGGGTCTGGTCGTAGTGCAGCTTGTTCTTGAGTTTGATCAGGGCCACGTCGTAGTCGTAAAACTCGGGAATGCCGGCTGCCTTTTTCCCGTTGATGTTGTAGTTAGGGTGGAATAGGACTTCTTCTACCTCCAGGTCCTTCCTCTTCCCTCCTGGGGTGGGACCAGAGTCAGCGGGCAGTCTCCTGCCTCTAGCCCCGTGCCATCCCTGACTTCACGTCTTCCCCGTCCTCCTTGGCCTGGGTGCAGGGGAGGTGCCCGCACTGAGGAGGGGGGGAATGTGGGATCTTGAAGTTCGGGGTGTTGCCTGGAGGGCGTGGCTGGAGCTGGGGATGCCCCGGCTGCATCCTTACCCACGCTGACCTTGATGGAGTGTTTCTGGTCTTCCACAGTGAAGCAGTGGGCCGCTGTCAGCACAAAGTACTCGGACACCACGGCCCCCATGCAGTTCTCGTGTCCCTTCAGAGGGCGCTGGGGACAGCAGTGGGTGGAGGGTCAGCTGCACAGGTCGCTCGAGTGGGCGTGTTGCCGTCCCCCACCCCACCTCCAGGACGGCGTGCTTACAGTCACGGAGATCTTGGCCTGCCACGGCTGCTTGTGGTAGTCGGTGCCTTGCTTGTGCTCCCAGACCATGCCGCAGAGACCCAGAGACTTGGTTTCATCTGGCAGAGAAGGAGGACGTGCTGCGAGCTGGGGACATGTCATGCCCAGGTGGCAGCCGCCTGTCCAGGCGGGATCCCTAGTCTGCAGGGAGCAGGCCCAGGGGAGGACGAGAAAGACCAGGGCTGCTTGTTCCGTCATGTTAGGAGACGAGTCTGGCTTAGTGGAAAGAACTGGAATCTACGAGCCGAGGCCTGGCTGTTGGCAGGCCCACCCCTCGCTGGCTTGTGCCCCTCGTGGCCTCGGCCTCCACCTCTACAACAGGGAACCTGAAGGGTGATCTCTGATGCTCAGAGCTCTGTGATCGTGAGAGGAGGGAGCCGATAGCAGGGAACGAGGGCAGTGACAGAGGAGGTGTGAGGAGGGCTTCCGTAGGGGAGGGATGAGTGACTTCCGGGGACCTGGAGGGAGCTGAGTTTCCCGACAGTCCCGTTACGCTCTTACGACGTATCCCTACCGATCATTTGGTAGAAAACGTCCTCCAGGTTCTCCATGTCCCTGACTTTGAACACGTGCTGCTCTTTCTCCTTCTTGGAAGCCAAAGCGTTGATATTCACTTGATCCACCAGAGGCCCGACCCCAAACACGTAGACGTCTGAGGGGGAAGAAGTGAGCGTGAGGTCCGGGTGCTGAGACGGCCGGGTGCCGGGCCGCGGGCAGCTCACTCACCCAGATAATCCTCCCTTGGGTTTTTACGATCCCTGCCGATGTCCAGCAAGTTCCGGATCTCATCGATGACAGTGACTGGGTCCCCGCCCATGTTGTGCAAGCCTGCAGGAAGGAGGGAACGAGGGTGGGAGATGAGGAAGGTGGGTGGGCTAGACGCAGCGACACACGGCCAGGTGAGCAGGTTGGGGAGCTGGAGGTGACAAGTCACAAAGGACTCGGAGAACGGGACCTCTTTGAAAAGGGTCCCAGGAGAGCTCAACACCCCGCTTTGAGCAGCGTTCAGGGGTTCAGGGCCTCGACCAGGAGTCTAGTATTACTGGTGGGCTGAGGGGCTACGTGTGAGCGAGGCGGGAGGGGAGAGGCCCTGACCGTCGGTCATGAGGATGATGACGTGGCGGGTGCGGTTCCAGCCCTCCGGGGGGTGGTCCCCTGCCCAGCTCATCATGCTGTAGACTGCCTGGAGGGCCCTCTTGGTGTTGGTCCCTGACTTCAGCTTGTGGTCTGTGGAGAGAGAAGCCATGACCTCACCTGGTCCCCCAAGCCGTTCTTGAAGCCCAGCCTTCGAACTGAGAGCCCGCGTATTCCAACCTTTCCAGCTGGTTGCCCGCCCACTGGCTACCCTTTGCTCACGGAGAGGCCCTCCCAGTCCCAAGGAGGGTTCCCACCAACCCCCCATTGCCCAGTGACCCTGCCGTCCAACCTTTGACTGAAGTGGTCCTCTGCCTGCCTAGACGTGGTCTCACCACCGTCTTCCCACGACACCCCTGAACTTTCCAACCCCAAAGTAAACTCTCGTCCCTCCCTCCCCTAACCTCTGACCTTCATAACTGATCTCGTTAAGCTTCTGCGTGACCCAGTCTGCATCGCTGCTCCTTGGGTCAGACACTCTGACCAAAACTTTGGGGACTGTGGCATATGTCACGAGACCGTATTTTGGTTTCACCCCGTAACTGGCCACCTGTGGGTGAAGGGAGGAATGAGTCGTGGCACTCAAGGTGAACTGCTGCGGTTGGAAGGGCGGGCAAGGAGGCTCCAGAGCTGAGGTTCATGGAGGGTTTTGTGTTAAGCATCAAGGTACTTCCGAGGCCAGCCCGCAGTGCAGCAGTAAGCACTGTGCACAGGGTACGAGACCTCACTTAGCCAGACGAGGTTTGGAAGCTTGAAGAACGGGCTGGGCACATGTGTGCATGCACGCCAAGGATCTCAACAAGATGGGGAATTTGAGGGCAAAGGATTGCGGCGTGACCAGGCCCCATACTAACGATGCTTTCTCCCTCTCTCCGTCTGTCTCTCTTTATGAAAGAAATAAGTAAATAAACTTTTTTTCTTTTTTTTTAAAGAAAGGAAAACAGGGACCAGCAGATGGCGTAATGGCTATGTTGCTGGACTTCCATGTAGTTGACTGCGGTTCAAGTCCCGACCCGGTGGCTTAAACTCATGCCAGGCACATGTGCATGCGTGCCCAAGATCCCGAGAGGAGAATGGAGGAGAAGGGATTGCAGCGTGGCCATCCCCCAGGGGATGATTTCTTGCTTTCTGTCTCTCTGTCTCTCTCTGCCTTTCTGGCGAGTGCATGCGCCCTGTAGCAAAAACCTCTAAAAAAAAAAAAGAGGACAGACGAGGACCTGGGAGTTTTCTGGGACCTTCTGATTTGGAAGGGCTGGGAACACAAGGGAGCTAGTCCTGGGGAGGCAGTAAGGGTCCCCATTCCGGGGGTGGGAACGCCACCTTCTCAATCAGATTGGTGAGACACCTCTTGGCCCCCGTGAAGTTCCTGGCCCCGATGCTGTCAGATCCGTCCAACACCAGGTAGATGTTCATGGAGCCCGAGGGGTCGATGATGATCTTCCGCTTGTGCTGCTCCCCTAGGTGCCAACGGAGAGGCTCAGGCTCCCGCGTGCATGGCCCTCCTGCCCTTCTTCACCCTGCCCCAGCGCCCTGCCCCACGCCCCCCTCTCCTTCGAACCTGGGCTGTGCCCGTCCTCGGCATCAACTCCTTCTATGGTCTCCGTCAGGGAAGACAGGAAGGCTTCGGCCACCTCTTGAGGGGTGTCGTACATGAAGGAGTCTGAGAGAGGACAGACAGGACAGATGTCAGGGAGAGTCGGTGACGTGACGACTGGACAGATGGGTGGCGGGTTCTGGGGTGGGAGAGACTCGGAACGACAGGGAGGGTGAGGAGTGAGGAAGGCGCGTGGAGGCGAGGGGAGACCCCGCGCGGGCGGGGGGAGATCAGGACAGGAGGGCCGGGTCTGACCTGCACACACAGGTCAAGGGTCACCTTGGCAGGAAGGCTCCGTCCCACTCCAAGAGCCACCTTCCTGGCACGTTCGCCGCTGGGACCCGCGCAGGGTGAGCCCCCGGCTGCAGTAGTAAGTGACGCTGTCCTCCAGGCGGTACTGGCTGCCCACCTTCCTCGTGCCGAGGGGGATGCCTGGGTTGGGGCAGTACCCCGCTGCAGAGGCATGAGACGTGGCGGTGGGTGCCGAAGCCTGAGGCCCCGGGGGCCAAGGCAGAGAGCAGGGGCTGGGCGCCAGGCCCTCGGGGACAGGCACGCTCCTCACCTCCATCATCACAGATGGCCGTCTGCCCGTCCCACCGGCCGTTGGCCTGGCAGGTGCGGTTGGCAGAGCCCCGGAGCTTGTAACCGTCGTAACAGCTGAACGAGATCTCGTCGCTCAGGTTGTAGTAGGGCGCCCGGGGCCAGTATTCCCCGTTCTCAAAGTCCTGCGGCCGCGGGCAGCGGATGGCTGCGGGGACGGAAGGGCTGCCTTGGCAAGGTCCCGCCTGCTCGCAGAGCCCCTGTCCCTCGTCGGCGCCCAGGAGCACCGGCTAACCCTCGGCCCCCCGGACGGCCCGCGCTCCCGCCTCCCA